AAAAAAAAACCTTCAAACGAAAATACAGTAGCAATTGAGGAAGAATGATTAATAATCCAAAATTTACAAAATCCGGAACCCCTCACTGTTTTTTTTTTTTTTGTTTTTCAAATATTTATCCAAAAAATAACAGAGTAGCTGTCCAGCCATTACAAATACCTCAATAAAACCGTGCACAGATGTACCATCATCATTCACTGTTGCATATTCTGAATAAAACATTGCTTCCTCAATCATTCCAATTACAATCACCGCACCTATAAATCGATCAAAAAAATTATCAAGAAAAATTTTAATTGCCTAAAATGAAGGAAACGATCAACCAAGATAAAAAAAGTCAAAACCGTTTCCGTATTTGTACTTTTATGTGAAACACCGGCATTCACGTAATGAAAATAGCAATATTATTTCGCCAATATTATCAATTTCAGAAATCATCAATTTCGATTTACTCTTAAAATCAGTAATCATGATAATGCTAATATTATTATTATTGTTATTGAATTCCACATGATATTTAAGCAGCACTAGTAGACCAAATACTGATAAAATCAACGCTGGTTTTATTTTAAAATACATATATCACATTAATTGGTGTAATACATCAATAAAAATAACATCATCACATACTAAGAGGTACACGTTGCATATTGTCAAATTCAACAAAAAGTGAGTGGAGAAATCCTCAAAAAAGTCTGAAAATCGTCAAAACTAGCTTGTACTCCATTATCGCAAGACTTTTTAAAGGTTGTCTGGTCAAAATATGGCATCAAAAGTTTGGCAAAACCAACGTCAGCTGGAGCTGTATATAAGTCGGTACACTCACCGGAAAAAAAATCTATACGAATTAATGGACCGAAACATTTCTTACCTTTAAATAAACTATCTAAATAAACTTTCTTAAAAAATTTTCCTTCATTAATGATCTTTTACAAAACCTTTCCTATTTAAATCTTTCTCAACACATTAAATTGTCTCTAACTAATTTAAACCGTTCATAATTTCCATCCCCCATCCATAGTTATCTCCAACCTTTTACCCCGTATTCTTCAACAATACTACAATATTCTACTTCATAATTTGTCTTTCCCCCACTTTTTTAACTTTTCTTTAATTAAATTCAATTTTTCTTGATCCCTCATATCTTAAATTTTTTAAATTTAATTTCTTAAATTTTATTTTCTTTTAATTTCTAAAATCTAAATAATTTCTATAATTAAATTCTAAATTCTGATTCTAAATAATCTAATTCTAAATATTCTAAATTAAATTCTAAACAATCTAAATAAGTTCCAAATAATTAAATTCTGGACAATTTCTTAATCTTAATTAATCCCCCACTTAATTAGAAAAAATACCACATTAATTTTTCTTTCCTATTTTTCAAACTCAATCAATAAGGTTAAAAGTACAAGAAAAATGTAATGCTTACCAATACAAAACTGAATCCTCAACAGATCCATCCAATAACGTATGCAACAAATAGACCTGCAAAAAAAAAAAGAGATAAAAATACTGTCGCACAAAGCTGCAAATAAAATAATTCTTGGCGTGATAGTAGAAAAAAAACAATAAGGGATGGGCAAAATCTGATTAGCCATAACTACTACTATTAAAATCTTATTATATAATAAATCTGTAACAATATTATGAATTAGAAAGTGAGAATAAATGACTGAGAATAAATAACTCACCCTCTTTCTTTTCAAAATTATACTTCAAATTTGGTACAATTAAAGAGGACTTAAAATCAATTTTTTACCACACTGCATGCTACTTTCGTTGCACCGTCACATTGACGAGGTCCAGCTGCCAGCACTGAACAGGAATACATGCGACTTGATGGATCGAAACATTCCCATTCAGATTTTAATACTATTTTATTCACGTTTTCCTTTTTTATTTTCTTACATCTTTCATAAACAAATGCCAAGTAAAATTAAAATGATAAAAAAAGTACCAAATCACTGCTAACACTGTATAGAATAACCACATAAAAGCGTAAAATCGGAGTAGTGGATAATCAATCGCACTTAGATATCCATTCGGACCGCGCCATTGCACATCCACAGTTAAATTATGAGCTAAGGGTGCTGAAAAAAAAAGTGTGAAAAAAATTCTCATGATATACACTCTTGAGGAATTCTAATTTCTTGTTCCCCTACAAAAAAAAAACCCCCTTCAAAATTATCAGATCTATGCTAGGTGCTTAAGTGAAACAACGGTGATGATAAACTAACGAAGCGAGTATGCAAACCTTGTACATTCGTTCCAGCAGGAACAAATTTGATGGTGGTAAATTTGATTATCAAAAAATATATTGCATCGGCTGATAACTTTTGCACCGGATGCCATGAGCTGAAAGGCAAAACAAAAAAAAAAACATCTGCAGTGGAAATTATACAACATAAGCTATTTGTGGTTAAATATGCGTAAAGCTGTCGGTGGCTTCTGCTTCTACTTAGACCATTTTCCGTGTGTATGGAAGCGAATACGTATGCGTTTTAACTTTTGGTATACACAAAACAAATAAAAAGAGCACTTATATACGATAAAAATTAAAATTTCAAATTTTTTGCGTTCCAGGACTTAGCAGGCAGGACCATACATGAAGTTCACGGCGAGGATTTTCCTAGTGTAAAAAAAAAAAAACCGTAACAATGATAAAATTAACACAACACGAAAGTTATATTAAGAAATTTTTATTCTCACCTGAGTGTCATTTTAGCGCCACCATCCAAAGAGTCACCATTCAGTCCAGCAAATTCACGTTTCCACAATCTCCTTCTTCCTTTCACATCTCGGCGAACTGCATGTTTTCTTTGACTCACCGCAGTTGTTGAATTGACCTAAAATTAATTATAGGTAAAAAAA